CTGCAAAATTTGATACTTTTCACAGAAATGCACTCCTAAACGTTAGTTTTAGTATTTCTATTTCAGAGGGGTAGCACTATGGCCAGTGAGCACTGATGGATGTCATGCATATGCGAACGGTATCCATAACAAAAATAAACAACCACTCGGACGGCTTCCAAAGAGGCAGTGCACATAAGTCGAACAGACACTGAACTGCTTCCACTCATCAAGCGTAACTATGCCCATTCCTTTGGTCGTGGGATACGGATACGCAATCCCACGACCAAAGGAGTGGGCATAGTTACGCTTGACGAGTGGAAGCAGTTCAGCAACATCACTAACATAGAATAGCAACATCGGCGGCCCGGTGGTTTCGGTATTTAAGCCAACTACTCCAAAAATTTTGGCCCATGGACAAGAAGTTGTAAAAGTAAATCCAAGCTGTTACAAACTAGGCTTGCCGCTGGGATTATGCGTTTTTGCAAAAGCTGCGTTAAAAGCATGCATGGTCCGTGCGAAACTATTTAAAACATGGGCTCATAATGGCCATTTCTTGGCCTTTATTTGCAGGGAAAAGGGAGTCGGCTGGGATGGCAGTGTTGCATCATGAGGCCGCGTTGGCTTTCAGCATGCATGTTTACCAGTTTTTTGCACGAAGCCCGGTCGTTTTTCCGTAAGCGGCGGCCCATCGAAAAATGCAAATTTGACAATGCACAGGATGTGGGAACAGAAAGATTATGAACAGGCAAAATACACCCACCTTTCAGAATGCAATAAAATTTAGCATTTCTCGCATTCTTGTGCAGAGAATTTAGTCTCCAAAATAAATTTAGGCCACACGTGGATACAAAACACCCTTACAAAACTTTATCCTCGGTAAGCGAAACGGCCCCTTGGCTACAAATATCCTTGAAGTGCTGTAAATCGCGGCACAAGTTCAAATGGAAACTCGTTTTAGGTATACGGTTTCCCAGGCGTACGATAAATATTGTGACAAAATTTCAACTAGAATTCCCTGCTCGTTTTCTAGCTGGCGCAGTGCCAATTGCAAGCTTTGGCGTGGCTGCACGTGTAACATAGACATGTGAGATAATTAAATTTGAAATCTTTAGCTCACACTCGGATAAGGAACATCAATGTGAAGTCGCAACTTTTCAGATTGAATGGTTCTCGAAATCGTTTTCCCACCACAAAATTTGCACATTTCTTCAGCGTCCATACGCGAAATCTG